TTTGAATTGAGCTGGCATAGAACCGAATCGAGTTGGAAATCCAAATAAAATCCCATCGGCTTCAGCTAGCACTTCGGCTTTAATGTAATAAAAATATTTTATTAGTTGTATTAATCGACCATATCATTGATATGAAAATTGGATTAATATGCTTACGTGTAATAATTGGAAGTTCTGGCTTAGGTGGAGCGTACATTTTGGTTAAAACTTCTTGAGGAAGAGTTTCAGGTACTTGATACAAATCGAGTTGAATGCTTGAGTCAGTTGATTCAATTCCTTTCTTGATCTCTTGGGCCAATTGGTAGACATGAGTATACATAGAATAGCTATTATAATCGATATAGGATTTAATTAGGAACGTGTCAAAAAAAAAAAAAAAAAAAAAAAATTATCATTTAATTACTCACATGACAATAATGATTTTAACCATTTTAGAATTTTTTTTTTTTTTTGGACGAATTTAAAAAGTTTTTTGATTATTTTTTTTTTATACAAATGTTTGGGAATGAGTTTTCAAAATTGCGGATTCATGGACTCGCTTATATACTTTTTCTTGACTATATTTTTTGGGGATCATTTCATTACAAATAAATGATTTGGCAAAAATTATTAATCAATGATCTTCTCTGATTCGATTACAAATATTACAAATCAAAACAATAGGAACAATACCTGAATTTTTCACGTGACAAAATCTTTCAATCACAACAATAATCAGCACGTGGATTAATAATCAAGTAGATAATCAAGTATCGACATTTCATATCCTTATTTAAAATTACTCACATTATTAATTCATTTGGTTTATACAATTAATCACCATTGGAAGTAACCCGTTTGTAGATCCATCAAGGAAAAAAATTACTCATGTTAGTCAAAGTAAATTTCTATTGAGGTACACAGATTTTATATTTGGACATAAGAATCGGCCAATTCAATTATTCGTTACTAATCCTAATAAATTATAATTATAATTATACAAATTCTTTTTCTAATGCTTTAATACAAGGTTATGAAAAAATTTATGTTACGCAAGATGTTAAAAAATCAAATGTTCTATATTTTCTTGGCATAAAAGTTTATTTTGATCAATAGTTTGAAACAGATAAATTAAATGTAAAAAGTATATGCTATATAAAATTTATGTTACTACAGGTGAAAAAGTTGTAAAAAGTATAATAAAGTTTGAAAATTTAAATCGTCATTATTAAGTGTTTATTATAAAGTTAAAGTTTTTTTTCACATTTATACATGCTAGAATAAACGACCACGTCTCCTCACTTTCTTTTCTTAGATAATAATTCGCGTATATTTTACAACCTCTCATCTAATAATTTATCTTTCTTTCTAATTTAAACATATCAATGTTTCATGATAAAAAAAACTTGATCCCTGTGCCTAAAAATGGTTTGAGTGAGAACGTTTCCTCAATTCGTTTTTCGTCGTCACAAGAAAGTTCTTTAAATATTCTTGACAATGTTTCTTTGGGACAAACCGGAAATATTCGACGGGAAAATGGATCAAAATATTCTTACAATGACAGGTATCAACAAATGCGTCTTTCAAACAGTATTCAACGTTCAATCGAATATATAATAATCATAAGTGTATAAATTTGATAATCTAATGATGAATATTTTTAAATAAAAAAATACTAAAGGTTTATTCCTATCAGAAATGAAGATATGATATCCGAGTTTCAGAGAAGTTTGGCATCCAAACCACAAAAGCGGAAAAGAAATTCATCTGAAGATCAGGGTAAATAATAAGATATATGTGTATATGTTAAAGTCTCCAACTTCTTATTTCGCGATTTTTCTCCGCAGAAAGTGAACATTTTCGCAAAATAATTGTGCAAGAAACCATGTTCCCTACTCATTCTACCAATGACGAGATTATCAAACGTATTAATGATGGTTCGGTTCCTTCTACCGATAATATTTTGAATTATCGAAAGTCATTCAATAAACGACCCGGAATAATCGATACACCCTATAGAGAAGCTTATGCTAGTACTCTATTCTCGCATCAAGTGGAGGAATTGATGATATCTCCACAACAACCTAAAAGAAAAATTAATTCGCGACCTTATCAAATGCTTGCTTTCTGTAATGAATTGAAGCTCAAGGTACACATTCATCCATTTTTATTTCATTAGATGTGACGCGTATTAACGTTAATCACTTTCTTGTTAGGATGATTTTTATTTGAACATTATTGATTGGTCTTCGTTTAATATGTTAAGTCTGGGGTTAGATTATAGCGTTTATTTATGGAATTCAGGAAATTCAAAGGTTTGTACGTGAATAATTTTTAAGGGTTTATGTATGTTAATCTTATATACGTGTAAAATTATCGGAATTTTAGATGACAAAGTTATGCGATTTGGGACTTCCACATGCTATTTCGTCTGTCAAATGGTTTCCTCAGGTATATATTTAATACATATATCGAGTAATATTCTGTCGATTATATTATTCTCGATTTGTTTTTTTTTTTATAGAACTATCAACTTGCTGTTGGAACGGCAGAAGGAAAGGTTCAAATTTGGGACACTCAGAAACTTATGAAAGTTCGTGAGTTTCATGGACATAAGTCACGTGTCGGTAAGTTGATCCTTTTTTTTTTTACCAAATAGGTTTATTTTAAAACTTGATTCTTTTAAAGGAACTCTTGCATGGAATGGAAACGTTTTAAGCTCGGGTAGTGGAGATCGTATTATTTATCATAGGGATCAAAGGTGTCCGAATAACAACGTTCAATCTTCCATAGGACATAAATCCGAGGTAAAGTATCATTTTTTATATTTTTAATGCACGATGACATTCTATCAATTCTTACTTTATGATTTCATGCCCTAGATTTGTGGACTGAAATGGAATCTCGAAGGGGACCAATTGGCGAGCGGTGGTAATGCCAACGAGCTATTCATCTGGGAAGGCATGAATCCTACCCCGGCTCGAAAATTAGAAGGTCATAATGCTGCAGTTCGAGCTATTTCGTGGAGTCCTCACGTTCGTAACTTATTGGTCAGCGGAGGTGGTCATTTAGATCGACAGATCCGATTCTGGAACACAATGGATGGTAGATCCTTGGGATGTTACAACGCAAAGTCTCAGGTTGATCCAACTTCGATCATTGATCAATTTGTCATGTTTAATTATTAATTCTTTTTTAAACCCCTCTTATGATATACATAGATTTGTAATCTGCAATGGTCTTTAACGGCAAACGAAATTGTTTCAACACACGGATGGTGGAAAAATGATGTTATTATCTGGAAGTACCCATGCATGCAAAGAATTGCAACGTTAAAGGGACATTCTTATCGTGTTCTTTATTTTTCTCTTTCGCCAAATGGAGAAGACATCGTGACAGGAGCAGGAGGTGACGACAATACGTTGAGGTTCTGGAAGATTTTTAACACTTTAAATAAGATTAAGAGAAGTGTGACGAAGACATCCACATTGAAACCTGATGGGCTTATTCGTTAAATGAACGTTAACAATGTTTTATGCATGTTAATAATATTACTTATTATTTATTTGTATTGGTTTGAGAATTTGTATTTTTATAGTTTGTATGGCATGTGGTACATCAAAAATGCTAACATTAATAATTATCAATTTAAAAAATTGATTTCTCACAAAATCTCGTGATGAATCATTTAAAGGAAAGAAAGTTGTATGTTACACTAGTCACTTGATCGACAAGATCACTGTAAATCTTTTTAAAAAGAGTATAATATTGCGGGGCAAAATTCATGACAAAAGTCGAAACTCTATACAGTTTGACAGTAACATCATTACTAGATTCTCATTTGTTAACAGTCATTTTGTCTTACAACCTTATTCCTATATGAAAATTGATCTGAGTTGAAACTAGTAAATATAAGATCATTTGGACATAGTTTAACAAAACTATATCTAGTCAAAGATTTTTTGTAATTCCGATATAATTGCTAATATTTAAATTTGCCTTATAATAAGCTTCTTACTAAATCGATACATTTTTATAATTTAGACTCTAATATCTTCGCTTTAAATTTTGAAAAAAAAAACATTTGAAATTATTGTCTCTTTCATGTAATAGCTCGTTTTTTCCAAAAAAAAATATCATTACGCTCAAGAAATAATAAATAATTATTTTGGGCACAGCTCTCTAAATAAAAAATTTTTTTCTCTGTTATTTTACAAGAAAGCGAGGTGTCATATAGTTTTTTTTTAGGTTATTATGTATTTAATTTGTTTGAATGCGGATCTAGGGATCAACATGTATATGTTTCACTTTAATTAGTTGACCCGCTTCTTTCTTCGTCCATAATACTTTAACTTGAGCATATAACTAAAGATAGCACCGCAATTAAAAAAAATGGCGCAATTGAGTTGCAATTTGTGGAACTTGTGGCGCAATAAATTTCCTTATGGCGCAATTAAGTTGCAATTGAAAATCTTTAGACAACAGTAAATGATTATCATACAAAGTTTAATCATTTTATCATTTTATTTTGATGGTGTAATGTTTACAATGGAGGTAAAATTGTAAATCAAAAATACTTGATTCCAAGGAACTTGGTATTACAAATTTAAGTTAAAGTTTTTTGCACTTTTTTGTTACAATTGTATTTTTACATTTAACCTATTTATAGGATATGATTTCTCTATTTTTAATAACAACGTATATTGTCGTGAACTATATATATTGCAGAAAAACTTGTTTCATTCTTTTCGAGATAAATGAATCTTCTTATTTAGCGTCATCCGGATTATCGTCAAGTTTGCAACTTTTTGTTAAAGTTTAATTAACAACCCCTGAATGTTTACCAATTTTTTTTCTTGTAATACAGTATTTTAGAATTTCCATTTTGTACAGTGATAAATATTCTAATGGAAAGTATACGAGAATTCTTCTAACGAAGTAATATGGAGAAGTCCCGTACAACTCGTATTTTTTGTATTTTTGTTAAAAAGCATCTCTTCTTGAAAAACATATAATCAATCATGTTCACCAATCCAATATACACTCTACCTCCTCTCGAATTTAATCAACCAGAACAGCGCTTAATCCCACCATTATATTTTGGACCGCCTCCTCCGATGGTCCCAAGAAACAAACCTTCATTCAACCGTTGCTTTACCCACGATATTTTCATAAGTTCCCAAGAACGTCGCCATATCTCAACTCCACTTCAAGGTGCCCCTTCAGGTACTCGACATAATAATGGTCTATACAATACCGAAGTAACCACAATACAATCACATGAGCTTACGGATCCTTTTGGAAGACAAGCAAATAATCGTCGTCGTCGTGGTAGTATTATAAAAAAATGCTTAAAAAATAGTATAGATGTTGCTTGTATTCCCACTACAATACCCGATGATAATTTCTCAAAGATTCAAGATCAATTAACTATTTTGGAAACACTTCGAGATTCTTCCAACATTTTGAAATTCTATGGGATCTCTCGTGATGACAATCAATTGTTCATGATATTTGAATGGGCCGAATTAAAAACTCTTTTCGAAGTTTATAATACATACGATATTTCTTGGACTACAAAGGTAAAAAGTAATCTTTATAATTAAAAAAATTTGTGTTTTCCCGTCACGTTTAGTTTACCCTGTATAAATAATAATGATTAAATCGTGTAACGTTACACGATTTACTCCCGTTGCAAAGCAACGGGGCCAGCAACTAGTATGTAAATAAAAAAAAATTAAAAAAAAAATAAAAATTTCTTCATTATTCTCAAGGTGTCTATTGCATTTGGTATCTGTCGTGGTATTTCTTACTTGAACTCCTGTTTGATCCTTCATCATGACATTCGCTGTGCAAACATTATGATGACATCGTATTTGGAACCTAAAATTACAAATTTTAGATATGCGATCGATAAAAGTAAAATAAATAATGAATATTATGAATATGTACCAAATGTAGACGATATTATTAATTGGATGGCTCCTGAAAAAATTCTAAATTACCGATATAATGAGGAATGTGAAATATTTAGGTATTTACGAGAATTTCTTCATTTATTATTTCATTTATGAATTTATAATAATGTCAAATCTTTTTTAATTTATAGTTTTGGAATGTTATTATGGGAGCTTGCTTTCGAAACCATTCCTTACAAGGGTTGGGACGTACAAAAGATAAAAGAGCACGTTTTAAATAAAAAAAGAGAAAATTTAAACATAAAATTAAATAATGACGAAAATCTTCAGGAGAGCTATTTTAAAATCATTAAAAATAGTAAATATTATTTTTTATTAAATAGAATAATAATCTTTATTAAAAAATTTTATTAATTATAATGTTGCTTTTTAGCTTGGCATCATGATTTACAAAAACGTTCAAATCTCCAGACCGTTCTCTTTGAGCTTGATAAATTAGTTTCCAACTATCAACAAAATGGATTTTCTCAAAGTTTGATTCCAAAGTATATTAATCTAATTAATAAATCTTTTGATGAGTTAGAAGATAAAGCAAAAGAATGGATTGAAGATGCTATTAAACAAAGAGTTATTAAATCAATAGGATGGTCTGAATTTCAAAATCATCAGAGGATCGGGGCAGGAAATTTTGGAACAGTATTTAAAGCATATTGGCTTAATATTCATAATAATGTAGTTTATAAAAAATTACTCATTTCATCGGACGTTCAATTTAAGATGTGGGAAGCGTTTAAACATGAATTACAGATACAGAGCAGAGCACACGGTTGTGAAAATATTATTCGTGTTTTAGGAATAAGTAAAAGTGAGTTCTTGATATCAAATTTTATTAATTATTTTTAATAATTATAATATCACTTATTAAGAATATATATCTTTTATAGATTTGAATAATGAATATTCTATTGTTATGGAATATGCTGATGAAGGGGATTTAAGTGTATATCTTTCAAATAATTTCGAAAAACTCGACTGGAATAAAAAATTTGGATTAGCTTTGGATATTACAAATGGATTACATTATTTGCATAATGAAGACATTTTGCATAGAGATCTTGTAAGTACTGCAAATTATCAAAATTCATCAAATCGTAAAAAAAGATTTATAAATTTTATTATTAAATTTGCTTTATAGCATGCCAAAAATATAGTAATACATCATGGAAAAGCAAAAATTACAGATTTCGGTAATTCCAAGAGCTTGAATACTATGACCAGAATACACGATCATATATTTGGTAACATTTCATATATTGCTCCGGAAGTTTTAAGAACCAACCCCCACACAAAATACTCTGATATTTATAGTTTGGGAGTTTTACTATGGGTGTTATCAAGTGGTAGGCCTCCTTTTAAAACTCAAGAAGATTACACAATAGTTACAACAATATTATCGGGAAACAGAGAAGAGAGAATGCCTAATACTCCTAACAAATATTATGAATTATATAACACATGTTGGAATGAACCCGAAAGAAGACATACCGTTAAAGATGTTTACGACGTATTGAAAAAGTTATTAGCGAATAATGACGATGTATCAGTACAAAGAGGTAAAATGAATCAAAATGTACAGGTTATATACATATATAATTGTTTTTTCGCTAATTATTTAATCTTTAAATTTCAGAAACTCTCATTTCTGGTTATTTAACGCTTCCATCATCGAATGATAATAATGATATTTTAAGCACTAGCATTGGTTCAAATACTGATGTTGGTTCAAACGTTAATTCTTATTCATGTCAGATCTCAGTAAATTATGTAAATATCCACGACCTTTAATTAACTTTTTTTTTTAAATAAATAAAAATTTGGTTGTCACATGGATAAATAACTGCTAAAATAAAAATAAATTAGTAATAATAAATTATAAAATAATAATTAATTCTTAATTGATTAAACCTCGATGTACAATTTGCATGATATTATAGCACCTGCAATATCATGAGCAAATTTCAATTAACTTTCCCATTTAAAATTGAAAGTTTTAACATTGTCTCGTAGATGCATATTCAAGAAAAGCGAATATTTTTTTCATCTAAAGAATTTAAATGAAACAATATGAAAATACAATACGTAAATAAATCTATTATTATTTTACTTCAAATCTCGTGACTTCACAAATCTAATTTTCATAAAATGAATCTAAAAATAATATCAAAATATATACAAAAATCTACAAAATAGCAAAAACAGAATCTTTCTGGCGAATTTTTAACTGAAATTTTGATGAGTATCTTCAAACATGCAAGCATAAACTGAAGCAAATGTTCCAGATCCAATTACAGAATGTATCTTAAAGTTTTGAAAGTCAAAATAACGAACTTCATCTTTGAAATCGTATCCTCTATATTATTGTTTGATCAAGAAAAACTATTTTAATTTTTCGTCATAAAAAAACCATCTTATTTAGGAACGTTTTGCTTGAAGGGTAGGGTTTTTAAGTAATAAAAATGATGGTTAGCCATTTTTTGAGGGTTTTTATATAAATTCGAGAGCACAAATAATTGTGCAACCAATAACAGGCTACGGACAAAAAATGAATAAAAAAACTTTAAGTATATTAAGAAATTTTTTTTTCAATTTTAAAATTAAGTTTAAAATATTTATTATAAGAAAATTATCATTTATCGCATATGCCACCTCCCCTGCTTCACGTGATAATCATGTGAAATAACTTTATGACTTATTTCCGCTATTGTTCCATTTTTTTGATCAATTTGATTATTAAAATTTCTTTTTTGTTCGTCAAGCTTGTTTTTTTTTTTCATTTTCGTTCATTTTAATGGCTTTTTGCCTCTACTATATCAGAATACATATTTATCGGGCTTGTTTTATTCATTTTTAACACTACTACATCATAAAGTATATTACCTGTTATTTACGTTGGCTGTGTTACTTTTTTGCAATAACAGTTATTATTTCATTTCCTTTGTTTCACTACAAACCTAATATGAACGAAGAGAATGAGGACAACTTAAGTGATAATGGTATATATCTGTTTTGAATTTCTGAATTTTTAGAGATAGATTAGAGTTCAAGTTGGCTTTGTAGTTACTTAGGGTTAGAGTTAGGGAATGAACCATTTAGCGAGTTCAGTTAGTATGATTTCCTCCCTCCCCGAAGAGTAGACTCAAGGCTGGCATTTTCTAAAATCCTCGGACATGTGATCACAGTTAGTTAGGTTTGTTAGGGTTTGTTAGGATTAGTTAAGTTTAGCTAGGTTTAATTAGGGTTAGTTCGGGTTAGGTGTTAGAATATTTATTGTTCAAAAGTTACGTCTGAAGATTTTGATGGTGATCATGGGAGTGTTGCCGGTTGAAACACAAGCCGCTAAAAGCTCATTTTCATTATTTATGTTTATTTTAGTTCTTTGAATAGTTTTATTTTTGTTACTATTTTGTAACCTTTATTTGTTGATTTTCTATTTAATCAAATTAATACAAAATTCTGTGATGAAAGGTTATCAGTGCTGAACAACGAATTATTTATGGTAAATTACATGGTGTTTATAAGAAGGCTTTAAATAGGTGTTGCAAAATAATTTCAGATCTGAACAGCTAATCTATTTACTGGAAAATTTCTTGGAGGATGAAGATGAACAGGATAAAATTTACCATGAAGAAGATTCGAGTAATAAGAAAAACTTAGACCCATCAATATCATTATTATGTAGGAAATGCGGAGAGGTTGGACATTACCAAAAAAATTGCAAGATATTAGTACAATCCAGAATATACGATATTACAAATTATAGAATATGATGTGATGAGCACAATCATGTAATGCAGGAGGAGGGTGGCGATAAATCGCTATAGCGATGAAAAACAAAACCCTTATTATAATAATTTTTTTAAAAATTTTCTTAAAATTCATGTTTGCGAACTAATTGAAAAATTAATGGGGAATATTACGTGTCCGTTTTAAAGTAACGAATCTCGTAAATTTCATATCACATGATAATCAATAAATAATTATCACACAAATTTTTCGGCTTTGAGGATCAGAGATTGAATAGGTATTATTAAATCATGTATGGTATGGTTTTTTATGTATGAAATATATGATTTCAATTATTATTAGTCTGGAACGTAGCGAAGGTCTATATACGGTCTATACTGAGTGATACAAAAATGTCTTGATGTTCGCTCGCTCGAAATACCTTGAAAATTAACTGATAAGTAAATTTCTTTTTCTTGGATTAGAAAAGCTTCTTTAAGAATATTTACTAATATTCTTTTTTCTTTTCTTTTTTAGGATTGCTTTCTTGAGAACTTATTAGTAAGTGAATTCCTTCTTCTTAGAATGAATGGACTTCTTTGCGAATATTTATTAACGTTATTTTTTCTTCTCTTTTTTAAGACTGACTTTCTTTGAATCTTGAGAATTAACTGGTAAGTTGAATTCCTTCTTCTTGAAATAGGTAAGCTATTTTGAGAATATTTACTAACATCTTTACTGATTTTGTGGTAGTCTAAAATTCTAAAAAAATTAGTAATTTTTAAATGATCTTATTAAACTGATATTGCGACAGCCTGAAATTCTAAAAATAAAATTTTTTAATTAATTTTAATTTTAAATTTTTTATAATTTTGATTTAAATAAAATAATATATAAACTTACAATATAATATAATTTAAAATAATTTTTTTTATATTTAAATATTTATAAGTTAATTTAAATTTGACTTGACTCAATTTGAATAATTCAAGTCAAAATTGAGTTGAGTTAAACTTAAGTCAAGTCAAACTGAGTCAAGTTTAAAAATTTATATAATTAGAATTAAGTTAAATTGAAAGATTTTATAAAATAAATTTGACTCAATTTAACTTGAAAAAAATGAGATAAATAGAGTTGAGCTTTAAACTTAACTTAACTTAACTCATTCGAAACTAAACTTTTTATTTTTCTAATTCTTAATATTAATTGATAGATTAATCAATCAATTTTAAATATATATTAGTATATATACCTATATAATTTAAATTCTTATAAAAATTATTTTAATTGAAGTCTAAATTTATAACTATTAGTAACTCACAATAGAAGTTAAGTTATTATTAACCAAGCTAAATTTAAATATAAATTATTATTCTAAATTTCACTTTTCTAAATCTAATTGATTTGCTATTATAAATTTTATGTAATTTGTTAAAAAAGAATAAAGAACTTTAATTTCATACATAATAAAAAGAAAAAATCTAAATATAATTATATTTCAGTTTATAATTTATTTATAAAGATTTAAAATTATATAAATATATAATGTGTATTAAAAATCACTAAATATATATAATATCAATAAATTATGAATTATTATATTAATTTTTATATATTTTTATATTAATTATTTAATATATTTTTTATAATTTTATCATTAATATTTTGTAGAAAAGGTTATTTTTATTTTTTAATAACAGCTATTAACAAGTTTTAAATTTATTTTTATCAAGTTTTAACTATTCTTTTTGCAAAATCTGCTAAATTATCTAATTTTTTAGTAATAATTTATGATTATTTTAATATTCTATTTAATTCTTTCTATAAATTTTAAATTTAAACTTTATACAGATTATAGTAAACTCGTAATCTTATTTTTTACTTCTTATTTTTTATATTATTGTTATTATATAAATAAAAGTATTATCTTCTTAATATAATAATAATTTTTTTTTTAAACTATTTATAAATAATAATAAATAGTTTAATATATTTATATAAATATTTACTATTATTCTATTTTTAATTTGACCATTAATTATAATTTATTTTTTATAAATTATTACATTTAGTTGATTTGATTTAAATATAGAAATAAGATATTTTAGATCATATTTTTTTAAGTATTTCTTAAAATATATCTTTTTTTATCTTCTTTAAATATTTAAATTAAAGTTCATTATTATAGATATTATTTTTCTATTTATTTTTAATATTTTCTATTTTTAATCTTTTATTTTATTAGTTGAATTTATAAAGATTTTTTTGCTTAAATTCTTTTAAAAGTTTATTTTAATAAAATATCTTTTAAGAGTAATTTGATTTATATCAGTTAAAGTAAAAAGTTTTCATATAATTTATTAATATTAATTCTATGATGTTTATTAAGAATTTGTATTAAATAACTTAAATAAATAGTCTATCACTTTAGAAAAAAAAGTGTATTAAGACTATTATTTTATATACAAAAATAATATCATGAATTGTATTATTTAAATAATTTTAATATTTCACTTATTTTTCTTTTATTAAAATTACATTTTTAAATATTTATAATTTTATTATTTGAAATTTAAAATAAGTAATCATTTTTATAAAACTATTTTTAAAATAAATATTTATTAAAATATAAAATATTAAATATTATATAATATATATAAGATTTTTATTTAAATCATAATTTATAAAAAAATTATAATTTAAAATTTGATTTAATATTAAAAATTAATAGATATCATATATAATTAGTAATTTATTATATTATAATATTCTTTATAAAAACTTCTGAAATCTAATTTAAATTAAAACTTTTTATTAAATACAATAAATCATATTATAATAAATAAAAATATATTAATAATAATAATACAATATATCATATACAAATTTTTTGAAAAATATCTTTCAATATCATTTTTTATTATTGGATTTTTACAAACCATTTATTTTTTATTTTATTTATTTTATAGAATATATACATAATTGAATAATTTTTTTTTATAATTTACAATAAATATTTTTTGATTTTAAGTTAAAATAATCTATTTTAATATTAATAGATT